TTCCCTTCCTTCCTCATTTTCTTTCTCCATCCTTCCATCCGTCCTTCCCTTTTTGCTCATTGTTTCCTTCCTTCCTTTTGCTCTCTCTCCATCCGTCCATCTTTCACTTTTTCCTGTTTCCCTCCTTCCATTCTTTCTTTTCCCTCTTTATTCTTTCTTTCTTTCTTTCTTTTTCTTTCAATCTCCGTTTGTTCCTTCCTTCATCTTTCTCTCTCCATCCTTCCATCTTTCCCTTTTTCTCATTGTTTCCTTCCTTCCTTCCATTCTTTTTCTCTTTCTTTCTTTCTTCCTTCCTTTCTCTTTCTTTCTACCCCTTCTTTCTGTCTTCCTTCCTTCCTTTACTTTTCTTTCTTTTTCTTTCTTTGTCTCCCCCTCTCTTTCTCCTTTTCTTTCCTTTTTCCCTTCCCCCTTTTCTTTCTCTCTTCTCTTCCCTTCATCTCCATCTCCTTTTCCTTCCTTCCTTCCTTTCACTCTCCTTTTCTTTCTCTTTCTTCCTTCCATCCCTTTCTTCCCTCCCTCCCTCCCTTCCTTCCTTCCTTCCTTCCTTCCTTCCTTCCTTCCTTCCTTCCTTCCTTCCTTCCTATCTTTCTTCTTTCTTTCTTTCTTTCTTTCTTTCTTTCTTTCTTTCTTTCTTTCTTTCTTTCTTTCTCCCTCCCCCCACCCATCTCACTGTCATTTTCTTTCCCCTAGCACACCTTATGCTTCCTCTCTTCCACAGCTGACCCCACCCCCCAGAGCCGTCTTTTGAACCCGAGTCTTGTCTGCTGTCCCTGGACCCACGGGCTGACCTCTCTCTCCCCTTCCTCCCGCAGACTATGCAATTTCCAAGCCAGGCGTGCTGTCCCAGGCCGAGCGGGCGACGGACGCCTGTCTGGGAGACGATCAGGACTCGGAAGAACAGGGAAGTCTGCCCGATGCCACAGCCGGTGGGTGCCGGCCTCCGTCGGGAAGAGATTTGCAAGCAAATTAAATTCAATTATCTTTAGCTCTTTAGACCAGCGGTTCTCCACCGGTGGGGTCGGGACCCCATTTGGGGTCGAACGACCATTTCACGGGGGTCGCCAAACCACGCCGTCCACCATTTTTTCCCCCTTTTCCTTAGCTGTGCTCCTCCCTTTTATTCTATTGGCTTTTGAAAGCCAATAGAATAGACTCTCTTGAATAGAGTCTCATTCTATTGGCTTTCCAAAGCCAATAGGAATGGTCCAGGCTGTCTCTGCCCTGCTGAGCCCGCCAAAAGTCCCAGTCTGCAAACGGTGCTGCACCAGTTGAATAGTCCTCGACTTACGACCGGCGGAGTAGTCCTCGACTTACGACCGGTTGGGGGGTCGTGGCATTCAAAAGGTTGAGAACCGCTGCTTTAGACCTTTAGAGCAGACGGAGCTGCTTTGCTCACGTTTCATCCAGGGTTTCCCAACCTTGGCAACTTTCAGACCCCTGGACATCCACTCCCAGAATCCCCCAGCTGGCAGGCTTTAAGAGGGGAGGACCAACTCCCAGAATCCCCCAACTGGCAGGCTTTAAGAGGGGTGGACTTCAACAAACGGACAGACAGACAGAAGATGGATGATAGACCAATGGATGATAAATGGATAGAAAGACAGATAGATGGATGGATGGATGGATAGACAGACAGACAGACTGGTGGATGATAAATGGAGAGATGATAGACAGATGGATGATAGATGGATAGAGATAGATAGATAGATAGATAGATAGATAGATAGATAGATAGAGACAGAGAGACAGAGAGACAGACACAGACAGATGGATGATGGATAAATAGATGATAGATAGATGGAAAGATGGATGCTTTAAATAACATGCTTTAAGAGGGGAGGACTTCCAGTCCCAGAATCCCCCAGCCGGCAGGCTTTGGGGGGGGGAACCAACTCCCAGAATCCTCCAGCTAGCATGCTTTAAGAGGGGAGGACCAACTCCCAGAATCCCCCAACTGGCAGGCTTTAAGAGGGGTGGACTTCAACAGACAGACAGACAGACAAACAGACAGACAGAAGATGGATGATAGACCAATGGATGATAAATGGATAGAAAGACAGATAGATGGATGATGGATGGATGGATAGACGGATAGACAGACAGACAAACAGACAGACAGACAGGTGGATGATAAATGGAGAGATGATAGACAGATGGATGATGGATGGATCGATGGATGGATGGATGGATGGATGGATAGATAGACGGACAGATAGATAGATAGATAGATACAGACAGACAGACAAACAGACAGACACAGAGACAGATGGATGATGGATAAATAGATGATAGATAGATGGAAAGATGGATGCTTTGAATAACATATTTTAAGAGGGGAGAACTTCCACTCCCAGAATCCCCCAGCCGGCATGCTTTAAGAGGGGAGGACTTTCACTCCCAGAATCCCCCCAGCCGGCATGCTTTAAGAGGCGTGGACTTCAACTCCCAGAATCCCCCAGCCACGCCCACCCAGCCACACCCACCTAGTGTCGTGTTTCAGTGACTCCAGATCTCCCGTTGACATGACTCGTCACAAAAGGAGATCACGCGACCCCGGGGCCCTGTGACCGTTATAACTACGACGCAGTGGCCAAACGTCTGAAGTTTGGTCAAGTTCAACGCATTGACGCTGCCACGGTCGTAAGTGGGGGGACATGGCCAGCGGTCCCTTTTTCCTACTGCCGTGGCGACGGGGAATGGTCGCTAAAACGAACGGGCGTCAAGTCGGGGACGGGCGCGACCGAAGCCCTGCCTTGTCTTCTGATTTTTTTTTTCCCCCCTCCCTTGCAGCCGGCATCCGGGTGGTCATCAAAACGGAAGAGCCGCATTCCGACGAATGTGCCGGGGACCTGGAGCCCCACCAGATGTCCGGCAGTTCGGAAGGGGATTTCCAAGGCCTGGACCCCGAAGCCCCGTGCGGAAGCCCCTACAGCGCCGCCACCCCCCTGGGAAATTTTGCCGGGAACAACGTGGAGGAAGGAAGCGAGTACGACGTCAACTTTGGGGAGATCAAGAGAGTGACCGTCCAGCACGGCAACTGCACGGGTGAGCACAGACGCCCCCCTAGTCGTGACCGCCTGTCCCGGGGAGGGAAATAACCCCGTGTGGAGAGGATGCCCCTTGCCCTCTGGCTCTGAGGACCCTCAGCCCTGAGGGGGACCCTCCAAGCGTGCCTTGAAGGAGGATGGACTTCCTGTCCCAGAATTCCCCAGCCGGTAGGCTTTAAGAGGGTGGGACCCCTGTCTTATCCTGTCCCATGTAGCTAAGGTATCTACGCTCCCCCAAAGATGCCCTCCCAGTGGACCCTCATTTTGCAATTATTCAGTACCTTGAGAGACTCGGGGACATTTTGTGTTCCAAGGACGGCAATCGGCTCAACCTATCCTCCTGCCCGTCGCGAGACGTTTTGAGCCCTGAACGCTTTTTTTTCCCCTCTTGCTGAACGACGCTGCGTGCGCCCCCTGATATTTTTGTTTTCCCCTTTCTGTCTTTCTCGCAAGACGACGGGATCGTAATTAAAATGGAGGAAGAGGAAGAAGAAGAAGAGGAGGAGGAGGAAGAGGAAGAGGAGGAAGAGGAGGAGGAGGAAGAGGAGGAAGAAGAAGAGGAGGAGGAAGACCCCGTCAGCTTGGAGACCCGAGGGCTCTTTTCTTCCCGGGCGGAACCGCCCTGCTCGCTGACTTGCAACGTGGAGGTTCTCCGGGAGGAGCAAAGGGCGGCTAAGCCGCCCCGACCCACCGTGGGCATCTGCGCCCCGCTCTGCGAGAGAGACAATAGCGTCGAGGCGCGGCCGGTCACCCTACAGCAGCGGAACCGGACGCGCGAGCGGCCGTACATCTGTCCGGATTGTGGCAAGAGCTTCATGCTGCGGATCAACTACATCATCCATCAGCGTAACCACCTCAAGGAGGGGCCCTACGAGTGCCACGCCTGCGACCTCAGCTTCCGCATCAAGCAGCAGTACCTCCTGCACCAGCGGCTGCACACGGCGCGGCGCGGGGTGGCGGCGCCGCCGCCCCGCCGCGGACAGGCCTACCCCAACAAGCGCAGTTTTAAGCCCCAGCCTCAGCCGCCCCCGCCGCCCGGCAAGCCCTACAAGTGCAGCGAGTGCGAGAGCAGCTTCAGCCACAAGTCCAGCCTCAGCAAGCACCAGATCACCCACGTGGGCGAGCGCCCGTTCTCGTGCAGCGAGTGTCGGAAGAGCTTCCGGCTGCAGATCTCGCTGGCCATGCACCAGCGGGTGCACGCCGGCAAAGCCGAGCTGTCCTTTATCTGCCCGCAGTGCGGCAAGGCCTTCAGCCGGCCCTCCCACCTTCTGCGGCACCAGCGGACACACACGGGCGAGCGGCCGTACAAGTGCAGCCAGTGCGACAAGACCTTCAGCGAGAAGTCGAAGCTGACCAACCACTACCGGGTGCACACCCGCGAGCGGCCCCACGCCTGCGGGGAGTGCGGCAAGGGCTTCATCCGCAAGCACCACCTGCTGGAGCACCAGCGCATCCACACAGGCGAGCGGCCGTACCACTGTGCCGAGTGCGGGAAGAATTTCACCCAGAAGCACCACCTGCTGGAGCACCAGCGGGCGCACACCGGCGAGCGGCCCTACCCGTGCACGGAGTGCGCCAAGTGCTTCCGCTACAAGCAGTCGCTCAAGTACCACTTGCGGACACACATGGGGGAGTGAGGGGCCGTCCCTGCTCTCTGATACCCCCCCCTCCAAAGCCAGCCCTGGTATCCGGGGACGGAGGACTGATGGGGGGGGGGGAGCTGGAGACGAACATCCTGCAGAGATACCTACCTCTCTGCCCACTGGAGCACTGAGTCAGGGTCCCTGCCTCGAAGCTAGTAACGGGTTTCGGATTCAACTAACCCCCATCTGTCCGGCAACGTAACCTTGATGGACACAAACTGCTCTTCTCCTAGCTTCTGGCTTTCTTGCCCCCCTCCCCTCTTCTGTTCTTTTTGATAATAAATGTGGAGCCTGATTTATTTGCTAAGCATCTGCTGAAGCTTCTGGCTTTCTTTCCTCAGGCCTTCCCCGAAAAGGGCTAGCGCCATCGGTAGCGAGGACGACGGGCTGCAGGGAAGCGCCCGGCGTAGTTTCTTCCTAGCTTCCGAAGTCTTCAAGGATGCCTACGGAAAAGGATACGGCCCAGCTTTCCTTATCTTAGCTTCCTTCCGGGTGTGGTATAGGTCAGGGGTCCCTCACCCCCGAGGCTGCGGCTCGCCAGCAACCGGGCCGCAGAAACAAACAAAGCCCCATCCGCGAGATGCAGGCAGCACATGAAACCGCGCGCACCCTCCGGTCTGCGGGAAAGCCTCTCTCCGCAGAAACGGTCCCTGGTGCCCAAAAGGTTGAGGACCTCTGTTATAGGTAGCCCTTGAGTTTTGATCACAATTTTTAGAATAGAATAGAATTCTTTCTCGGCCAAAGTGTGGTTGGACACACAAGGAATTTGTCTCCCTGCACAAGCTCTCGGGGTCCCTAAAAAGGATAGCGATTGATCCCAAAGTTCTGTTGCTAAAGCGAGACCGTTGTTGACGAGAGGTTTGCCCCGTTGTACGACCTCTCTCGCCACAACTCTGAAGTGGATCGCGGCAGCTATTAAAGGAGCAACAGGGTTGTGAGGTGAATCTGGCTTTCCCGTTGATCACAGAGTTGGAAGGGACCTCGGAGGTCTTCTAGTCCAGCCCTCCGCCTTGCTCAGGCAGGAAATCCCATAACGTTTCAAAGAAACGGTTGTCCAGTCTCTTCTTGTGGAGCGCCCACAATTTCTGGAGTTGCTTGTCACAAGGTCGCAAAAAGGGGATCACATGACACTGCAATATGAGTCGATTGGCAAGCGATTGAATTTTGATCAGGTGACCATGAGGGAGGGGCTGCAACGGTTCCTAAGTGCGAACAAAACGGTCGTAACTCAGTTTTTGGTCACTAAACCTATATATTTTGGGGGGGATTTTGTCAACGTAGGGCCTCCGGCTTATATTTTCTTTCGTCTGGGTCTTTGGTACGCTTGAGAAATGTTATCATTTTTTTTTTGCCCTTTCTCTTCAAGGGAGCAGAAGCGGACCGATGAAACCTTCTCTTTAAATCAGCGCTTTTCAAATTTGGCCACCTTAACGTGTGTGGACTTCAACTCCCAGAATTCCATAGCCGGCCGTTTTTTGTTTTTGTTTTCTTTGTTCCAGAAAGATGGTGGACTCACCAAGTGCTTTTCTCCGAGGCTGCCCATCGGAGGATCTCTAATGACGCTCAATGGGGATTAAGAAAGTGGGCCTTTTATTGAACGTTCTGTCCGTTACTGGCTGCATGGCGCTTGTGATCCCGACTCTAGAGCCGCTCGGGGCCCAGTGGTTCCCACAAAGCCATGATTCCTGTGTGTCAATCAATCAATCAATCAGACTAGCGCTGGAAGGGACCTTAGAGGTCTTCTAGTCCAACCCCCAGCTCAAACAGGGGACCCTATACAATTTGAGACCACGTGGCTGTCCAGGCAAGCGGGAGACCCTTAACAAAATCGTAGAATTAACAGAGTTGGAAGGGACCTTGGAGGTCATCTAGTCCAACCCCCCCTGCTCAAACAGGAGACCCTTACAGAATCATAGAATCGCAAGAGTGGGAAGGGTCTTCGTCTAGTCCAGTCCCCCCCCCCACTCAAACAATTTGAGACAAGTGGCTGTCCAGGCAAGCAGGAGACCCTTAACAAAATCGTAGAATTAACAGAGTTGGAAGGGACCTTGGAGGTCATCTAGTCCACCCCCCTGCTCAAACAGGAGACCCTTACAGAATCATGGAATCACAAGAGTGGGAAGGGGCTTTGTCTAGTCCAGTCCCCCCTCCCTGCTCAAACAATTTGAGACAAGTGGCTGTCCAAGGCAAGCAGGAGACCCTTAACAGAATCGTAGAATAACAGAGTTGGGACCTTGGAGGTCATCTAGTCCACCACCCCCTGCTCAAACGGGAGACCCTTACAGAATCATAGAATCACAAGAGTGGGAAGGGACCTGGTATGGCCCGACCCCTCCCCAAAACAATTTGAGACCAGTGGCTTCCAAGTCAAGTAGGAGACACAGAATCGTAGAATCACATAGCTGGAAGGGAACCTGGAGGTCATCTAGTCCAACCCACGGCTTGAGCAGGAAACCCTAAACCGTTTCAGGCAACTGGCTGTCCAGTCTCTTTACTTAAAAACCTCCAACGATGTGCCGCCCACAACTTCCGGTGGCAAGCTGTTCCACTGGTTAATCGTTCTCGCCCTTAAGAAGTTTCTCCTTCATTCCAGGTTGCTTCTCTTGTAGAGCTGCTGTCCGTCGTTTCTCGTCCTGCTTTCTGGTGCTTTGGGAAATAAATTGACCCCTCTTTCCTTGGGGACAGCCCCCCAAAATACTGGAAGACTGCTATTGTGTTCCCCTCCCCCACAATCCTTTTCTCCAGATTAGCCAAACCCAAATCCTGCAGCCGTTTTTCATACGTCCTAGTCTCCAGGCCTTTAATCATCCTAGTTGCTCTTCTAAGATTAGTTGTTCTAAGTCTCCGTCATCCAGGTCATGGTTGTCCCAATGGTACTTTCCCCCCCCCAAAAAAAGGCAACTGGACTTCCTTAGTTTTTTTTCCCACTTGAAAACGTTTCGCATCATCAAGAAGCATTAACAAGAAATAGCCGTCCGGAGTGGAAGTGGGCAATCTCTTGGTCTCTCCTTAATCCGGAGAGACTCGGTCCCGCAGGATTTGCGATCTGGGCATTGCTGATCTGAGCCGCCGTGTCCGTTCCTGAAGGGATGTCCACCTTGCTAAATCCAGTTTGGTGTAGTGACTAAGGCACCAGGCTAGAGAACGGAATGGGATGGGAATGGAATGGAATAGAATAAGAAATAAGAATAGAATAGAATAGAATTAGCAATAATAGAATAGAAATTAGAGTAGAGTAGAAATTAGAATAGAATAGAATAGAGAATAAGAGATAAAGGAGAATAGAATAGAATAAGGACTAAAATAGAATAAGGAATAGAATAGAATTAGAATTGAATAGAAATAAATAGAATAGGATAAAAAATAGAATGGGATAGGATGGGATAGGATAGGATAAGAACAACAGAATAGAAAATATGGAATAGGATAGGATAGGATAGAAAATATGGAATAGAATTATATTAATAGAATAGAATAGAATAGAATGTAGAATGGGATAGGATGGGATGGGATAGGATAAGAACAGAATAGAATAGAAAATATGGAATAGATTAGGATACGATAGGATAGAAAATATGGAGTAGAATTATATTAATAGAATAGAATAGAATAGAATAGAATAGAAAGTAGAATGGGATAGGATAGAATGGGATTGGATAGAATGGGATAGGATAGGATAACAACAGAATAGAAAATATGGAATAGGTTAGGATAGGATAGGATAGAAAATATGGAATAGAATTAGATTAGAATAGAATAGAATAAGGAGATAAAGGAGAATAGAATAAGAGAATAGGAGAGAAAGAATAGAATAGAATAAGGAATAGAATAGAATTAGAATTGAATAGAAATAGAATAGAATAGAAAATAGAATGGGATAGGATAGGATGGGATAGGATAAGGACAACAATAGAAAATGTGGAATAGGTTAGGATAGGATAAGATAGGATAGGATAGAAAATATGGAATAGAATTAGATTAGAATAGAATAGAATAACAGTTGGAAGGGACCTTGGAGGTCATCTAGTCCAACCCCCTGCTCAGGCAGGAAGCCCTATACCAGTGATTCTCAACCTATGGGTCGCGACCCCATTTGGGGTCGATCGACCATTTTTCGGGGGTCGCCAAAGGCGGCGATCCGCCATTTTCTCCCCTCCGGGGGCGGCGCTGCGCATGCACACCGTGCATGGGGGCGGCACTGCGCCTCTGGGGGCGCCACCGCACATGGGCGCCACCGCGCATGCGCGCCACCGTGCATGGGGCGCCGCCCCATGCGCGCCGCGCATGCGCATAACGTTTGTGTGACGGGGGTCGCCGTCACACAAACGTTGAGAACCGCTGCCCTATACCATTTCAGGCAAATGGCTGTCCAGTCTCTTCTTAAAAACTTCCAGTGTTGGAGCATTCACCGCTTCTGGAGGCAGGTGGTTCCACTGGTGAATTGTTCTAACTGTCAGGAAATTCCTCCTTAGTTCTAGGTTTGCTTCTCTCCTTGATCAGTTCCCCTCCGTTGCTTCTTGTCCTGCATTCAAGGCAGGGTTAGAACCGGAAGACCCCGTGTTCTAATCCTGCCTTGGCCACGAAGCCCGCTGGACGACATTGGGCCAGCCCCTTTCCTTTAGCCCTAAGAAAGACACAAATTGCACCTGGAAAATCTTGCTAAGGACACAGCAGGGACTCCACTACGCTTGAAGGGAAGGGGAAAAAAAAGGAAAGCCGGGCTCCCAGTAGTCCTCGGTTTACAACCGCAACGGAGCCCCAGGTGTCTGTTGCTAGGGGAGACGGTCAAGGGACTCTCGCCCCCGTTTTACGACCCTTGCTTGTCAGAAGGTCAGAAAAGGGGGATCACGTGACCCCGGGCCACCGCGACCCGTCATAACGATACGTCAGTGTTCAGGCGTGTGAATTTTGACCACGTGACTCTGGGGATGTCGCAGCCGTGTCAACATACAGGTAGCCCTCGGCGTATGACCACAGTCGGAGTCCCAGCCTTCCTGTCGCTAAGTCAGACAATTGTTAAGCGTTGAGCCTGGTCTCATTTGATGGCGTTGCTTGCCACAGTTGTGTGGAAGGAGAAGTCTTCAACAGGGTCCAGTCCCAAGCCGGGAAGAAACGACGTGGCAGCGGCTTTGGAAAGAAGGTTGCAGTTTATCGAAGAGGAGAGCGAGGCAGAAAGATGGCTCTGGGGATGGGAAAAAGGGGCAGAGCACACGTAGGGAGTGGGTTTTGATACCCTCTGGGGCTCTTGAGGTGGTTTCCTGTTCCTGTTTGAGGCTTTGTAATTTCCTGTGTCACGTCTGAGTCTGCCCC